AAAAAATGTGAAATGAATTACAGGGAAAAAAAAAAAAGGTCCTGTCATGTTTTAAGTACATTACTAGAACACAGGTTGTATTATTTTAACTTGTTATTGGGTGAAATGTTTCCTGAATACAAATTCAACCAAGCAGGTATAATCTAAAGGGACAAATTGACTGAGACAGATACAATGTGCAAACGCTCATGTATGCCTTCAATACACATTAGCCACAAAACTATAGTGAGGTAATATAAGTACTAGAGTATAATAGTACTGTAAATAGTATTGGCTTAGTAATCAGTGTTGGCATGAAGATGTATAAAGTGAATGTAACTTATGACCAAAAGGAAGAAGTGATATCCAGATGGGGAAAGAAAAATTAAGTAACGTCTTCTGGTTCCACTTTAATCTATATCTGTTACCAAAACTGTACAGCCAAGGTTGGTTTTACAGTTGGTGAATAAGGCTTCATTGATTTATATTCTGAGTTTAAATCAGAAACTGAAATTGGCTTATGAAGAACCCTACTCCAGAGTGTGTTCCCGGCTGCCCTAGCAGTACAGATAATGGTAATGTTCATGGTCTGGTGGTTGTTCTCCTTGTGGGGTTATTCAGTCTGTTGAATGTTGTATTTCTACAGGGCAAAAGAGGAAAACAAGACAGAAATATTCATTATGAAGATAAGTGAACTTTTTCAGACTACGTTGTTTCTCTTGAGAGAGACAAAATGTTAAACTTCTTAACATCTGGGAACAGCTGTCACTGTAGTCCAGCCTGTGGATTAGACTGAGTGCTAAACTGCTGTCATATTTTCGTGGGGATTTAGAGAATGAACAGAAAGTGCTTAACTTCTTTTTTGTCCCAGTCTAATTTTAGAACTGTAGAAAATGTAAGCAAATGCTACATACATTTTTAAAATACAGATATGCATATGTAAAAAAAGAATTCTTTTTTTTTTACATAAGGCTCTAATTACGTAACAACTAGATTTTTTTAGTTCAAGACAATGTAGTTCAAGAAAAGAAAAAGTGGTTAATTTGAGAGTTCTCTGAAACTTTCAGAATTATTTATGTAAAAAGGCTAGCATTTAACTTTTATAAATTAATTAGTTTTAAATATTCAATTACATGAATTATTGTAGTCTAATCCCATGATAGTAAAGACTCCCTTTCTACCAATATGACAGATATTTTAAATGGGACATACTGTTTCTGTGAATATCTGTAGCTCAGTGTTCTGCTTTGTTTTTTGTATTCAAAGTTTTACATTAATTTTTCAGTAGCAGAAAAATTAAGAGGATTTTTAACCTGCTGCTTATTTTCCATGCTAAGATAGTTCTGGAGTAGTTTTCCTTTCTCTCTTTCTTCACAGTCAGGTGTTGCCCTCTGATAGGAAATCACAGATAACTTCTTAGAAGTATGTCAAGGACATTAACTTGCTGAAGATGTCTGTTTGTTGCAATGCAGCAGACATTTTAAAGTCTTTGGTCACCCTAAAGTCTTTCATCCATTGATACTATTAGGAGTAAGTCACAATACTCTGTTGAGCATTTTTTATACTTGCTGGAGGATATAGCAAATGTGAGAATGGATAAGCAAGCACATGATCCGTGCTATCTGTGTTTGGCAAAGGTTGTTCCTTAATATTTCTGTTCTTGTTCTGAGCTACATTTCTACAATGACAGTTTACTGTGCTTTGTGAAAAGCTCATGCTTAATAACAAAGAATGATTTATTCCCTGCTGTAGTATTTAATAATGAAGTATTACTTAGGATATTTGATAATTTAATGCTTATTCATAGCTGTATTTTCAGTGTTGAAATGAGTAATAGCATAGAAAGCATCAACTCTGTTAGCCTGTAATTATTAAATTCAGGAAAGGTGAGGGCTTTAATATGAATATTAAAACCCAGGAATTTGTTATCTTTAATTTCTAAAGAAGACATGTGATATCACTGAAATCAGTGCCTGACTACTTTTTTTGGTGGCATGCCTAGTTCTTTAACAGTTACCTGTCTTTTATGTAGGGTAACTGAGTGCTAGTAACAGCAGAGAGAACTGTGGAGGGGTTGAGTAAGATATGAATTTGAACTGCTAGGAAGTGGATATGCCCATGATGCATCAACACTGCAAGGTTTTTAACTTGATGTGCAGGAGTCACCAAATTTTAGATTTTGGATGATCATTCTCATAAATACCTATTGTCACAAACATGATCATGAATACATAGTCATATATTGATGCCCTTCTAACAGTTTATCTGTGTAATAACAAGGTGAACTTACTAAGAGCTTATTAAGGGGCATGGGTGCATTTACATACCCTTCTCTCCTACTGGAGTCCAGCAATAATGTTACAAGCCTAAACTGCTTTTGCAGCACACTGGAAGATTCCGGGGTGTGAAAAGGATGCCCTACACAATGAGTTAAGCTAGCTATTTTTTTGTTTGTTAGTATTTTTTTTTCTTGTTTTGTTCTTTTCTTTTCTTTGTGTTTTTTTTTTTTTTTGGCTTTTTTTTTTTTTATAAATATATATAAAAACATTGTGGCTATCATTTCTTAACATAGGATAGCAACTAATAGAAACATCTAGTAAATTCATCTAAACCAATTCCCCGTGGTATACATATTTTTCTACATATTTTCTCTGGTAATGAATGAATTTGATCCAACTTATCAGTCATGTCTGTGTATTTTTAAAATATTTTTTCTGCTTTGAACTTTCTTCTTTTGCACAGTTCAAACATAATCATGTTTGTTACATAACCTGTAACTATTGAGTAATATCTCTAGCATGTTCCAATGGCAATAAGATTTTTCTTGTTGAAAGAAAGCATATACTTTAAAAAATTGTGGTTTATTATTGCTTTTCACTTAGTACTCTTAATTTTTTTTTCTAGAATAGGTGACCTAGAAAGAAAAGTGGTTGACTATTTGCAGTATTGTAACTGTGGCTAAACACCAAGAACTCCTGAGATGTTTTATTTCAATCCATAAATATATTCAGCTGTATTTAATTCTTTTGTTTGCCATAAGCTTTCCAGTTTAAATAAATTCCTGTTTAAATGATACCAATTTCAGTCTTCCGAGCCTTTCTACCCAGCCTCTCTTAAGATTCTTAAGATTTTGGTTTGGTTTTTTTTTTCCCACTATTTCCAGAAGAAGGAACAGACTGGATAAAGTCCTTTTCCAAGAATTTCCAGATCACCTCGTTGTAGAAATACATATTTAGATCCAGAGTACTTCATAAACATGAAGTTCATTCTGCAATCCCCTACCAAAATTTATTTCCTTTCAAATTGCCAGTTTCACTTCTGGACACAGTGACTCTCTTGACCCCACTGTTACAGAAGAGGTTATTGTTTCTTCTTCTAAATTAAAAAGCCTGCCTAGAATATGCACCTAGATGTAAATTGTTTGACTGTGGTAGTTCATTCAAATACAGGCCTATTTAAGGAGTTTTACAATCTGCTTTATTGGAACCTTGTGGCTTTTATGGCACATTAGACCTAAATTAAACATCAGGGAACCTTCTGTGCCTTTATTCCAACTGTCCTTTCCAGGCCAGGTGGCATGATACTGTCTTTAGAATTATGTATCTCCTCTCTTCATTATTTTATCATGTGTTTTAATGTGGCACATATCTGTCCTGTAGCATTGTACAAGTTGTCAGAGTAATCCTGCGAGAGATAGCCAGGGATTTTTGGTAATCAGAAAAATATAGCACAGTTTTTGATTTCAGGTGTTCAGATTTGCTGTCAGGAAGCAGGGGATGCATTTTTATATCCTCTTTTTGGAGAATAAATGGAAGCAATTCCACACATAAGAAATTAATTTTTTTTTTTTTTTTACTTGTCATTTCAAAAAAATAACTTTTTTAGCCGAGCTGAAGTGATGGTGGATACCAACCAATAAAGCTAAAATTGTTGTCTGGTAGAATTTCTAGTATATTTTAAGATTAAAAGTTATGGCATGCATTCCTCAGTCACTCGTGAGCACCTCTGAGACTCCGTTCACGTCTTTAAAAATATTTTACTGGGCCCCCTAGGGGAACTTCAGACTAGATCATAAGAGCACTGTGGTGGTTTTTGGGGTGTGCTAAAAGTTTAGCCTGGGGTAGGACAACAGTGCTACCAGGGATACTGTATGATATCCTATGTTGGGAGAGAAAGCTCAAGGTGGTGTTTGGCATATAAAAAAACAGAATAAAGGTTGTTCTCCCGTGCTCTGGCTATAGCTCTGAGAGGAGGAAGCCCTCTATAGCTATAGGCTGGGATGAGCTGGATAGCAGCTTTCACTGCCTTCTTAACTATACCAGTGCAGGAGGGTGTTCATCACTGCTGGGGCTTGGAAGGAGAAGCTGTGCAGCAGTCTGGAGGGCAGCTGTGGCACCAGGGGGGGCCACTGACTCTTACTGCAGCTACTTCTTGAAATAAAACTTGTGAAAATCCTTTATCTCACTGTTGCCTGCTACCAGTATAGTCTGTAGTATGAATTGTGGGAACCAGCAAATCTCTCTCTGGCTGGTATTTGGTAACGACGTGACAATGTGAAGGCTCGTTACTGTGCTCCCAGAATGGCTCTGCAGTGAGATGTCTTGCTTAGGGGTCACTGGCAGCTGCTGGCACCACACCTCCTAGTTTGTGATTTCCCTGAAGACTGCTTGGGGACTGGCATGTATTTCACCATAGCTCTGGGCATGCAGAACTGCACGCTGAGCATAGTATATGGATTGCCAGCTGGTTTATGAATCCTAATTACTGGTGAGACTTACCCTGAATGAATTCAGAGCACTAGTAGCTCAAAAAAAATCTTGTATCCCATCAAATGTGTTGGTATTAATAACTGAGGTAAGTAAACATGGCACTTTGCGGTGTTTGACAGAGAACTCTCAAATCATCCATGTAATTTTAATGTTTTTTAAAAGATAACTTACAGAAACCATCCTTTTTTATATGTATGTACGTGTGTGTGTTTGCAAGGGGAATCTTCATGACGTGTATCTTTTGTTTTGCAGACAAAACCTGTTGCATTTGCAGTTCGGACAAATGTTGGGTACAGTGCAGCTCACGATGATGATGTCCCCGTCCCAGGCATGGCCATCTCGTTTGAGGCTAAAGATTTTCTTCATGTTAAAGAAGTAAGTAAAGCCAGAGGAGTAAGTGGGTCTCTCTTTAAGGGTCTGTTTGCTGCTATTTCTTAATGCTAAAGTAACACTTCACATTGCCAAAACACTATACAAATATTATATAAATAAGGTAACTGTGTGAAAGGAACCGAATGGTCTTTGAAATACTATTCTTTTAAAAGCAATGGCACAAATTCTTCACAATCAAATTAATAAAGTTTGGAAAGCTTTTCTTTTCTAGTAAAAATCACTTATTTAGAACTTTAAAATCTACATCTGCATATTCAATGATAAAATGGGTTTTATTGTTGCAGTACTCTGAGAGTTATGATTCAGCAGCCAAGGAAAGATGCTTTTTTATTTGTGTGACTGAAGCTCAATTAACCCCTAAATCCTCAGATCATCTTTTTTTTTTTTTGTTTTTTTCACTGAAGTTACTTCTCTGGCACAGACAGTATTTTGTTAACAGTTACATACTGGAGAGCTGATGTGATATTTCAGGACACATATAGCAACTGTCAAAAAAGGCACTTTGCATTTGCTGTGTTGGTTTTCTTTTCCTGTAGTTTGACAGTTTTCAATTTTTACAGTTCCAAACACCTAAAAGTTTTCCTTCTCTGCTCCTTGCAGACAATCCAAAGCAAATAACTTGGTAACTTTCCCATGCAGGCATCCTTAGTAGCCTGCTGCTCCTTTCTGAATGATTCTCTCATTTTATGAGGATTTCCTAGCTTCTGGTCAGTTTCCACTGTGTTTTGTCAAGAAATAGGAATTTATAGTAGAACAAGGAAGTTAGCTTAAGGACGAAAGCAACTTTGCCATGTATTTGAAATGATATCTTTGTGCCATTTTAGAGTATCAGAAGTCCCTGAGTAATGATGGATGACACGCAATAATTCTCCTAGTGCAGGTGCTTTGTGGAAGCAAGAAACATTCCTAATAGCAGGTAGAAATCCAGGTGGACAGAGACTAAGGAAACACAGGAAATGAGCTTTTAGTGCCTTCATACTGATGATTGATGATCATAATTTTCCAAATACATTAAACACAATAAAAAAGGATAATTTGGATTCAAACTGGATGCAGTGAAGGAAATATATATATATTCTATCTGATAGTAGTGCAAAAGAATTGTTCTGCTCTGTCTTGTGACAAAAAGTAGAGATGAGCAGCCACAGAGTCCTTGGAAAGGAAACATCAGCGTTCTCCAGTGAGTCTGGAAGCACTGGAGAATACAGCTCAGTTAGTTTAGATGAAATGTACTTGTTTAGTCTTCTATTCCATCTGCATTTTGAATGATCTGGTAATCTCATGCTTCAGGTCAACTCTTACCTTTGTTTCCATATGAAACAGAAACACAGTGTTAGCAGATTTTATGTTACAGTTTATGCTTTTTTTCTTCACAGCACAACTTAGACTCAGCTATAACATGCATGCGAGAAAATGAGGAGGAAAAGGTTTCCTGATCATTTCTGGATCTCCAGAAATGCCTTGAAAGGAAGCTTAGCTCAGATGAATTGTAACATGTGGCTGCATGTAACACTGAGGAATGGAAAAATAGCTTAAAGTGTTCTTCCAGGTTCAGGTGTAATAGAGCAAGGACTCTGTGCTAGTTGCCTTTAAAAATTATCTGGTTTTCTCTTCAAGCCGTTAAGAAAAGTTGACTGTCTAGTGGTGCTAAGCCAGAGCTGTGTTTTGGAATAGACACTGACATCCAGGCTAGGTACACTGGTGGGATGGAGAGGTGGGAAGGGACCCTCAAAGAGTTAGACTTAGACTCTCTGGTCCTGCATTTGGCAGCAGTGGTTGCACCTGGGCAAGTCAAACCTCTTCAGGAGGTGCCCCGAGGAGCGGCCCTTCTCTGCACAGCCACTTCTTCCCCTCCACCTTCCATGGCCATGCCCTCCTCATTCCCTGGGGCTCTATATCCCACCAAATATTGCACCTTCAACAGATTTGGTGTCAGCTGTAGTTAATGCTGGGAGAGGTGAAATGTGTACATTTAAATTATTGAAAATTACATTAAAGGTAAAAAAACATATTTGATTAAAAATTGCAGTGTTGCTTTTGTATTTTATACCTAATTAGTTGCTAGAAATAAAGAAATCTAAATTGATCTCCAGTAAATTATGCCTGTATAGTAATGCTATATTGGATCAACACTGGCCCGTTCTTGTCTGTGAGAACCGTTCTCCAATTTGTGCTGCTGAGAGAGGGCTCAAACAAGAACTTCAGTTCAAAGTGTGAACTGAACCAGAGCAATGGTGAAAAGTACTGTAGTGACTGAGTATGAGGGAAATTTATTATTAGGTTACGTTAAAACTAAGTACATATAAAGGTGAAGGATTCCTTTTTGCATGAAGAAACGTGTGCTGTATCATAGCCATTCCTAAATCTTTTGAGGCTTTTAATACACAGACATGCTTCTGCTTTGAATTTCATTCATCTTTGTGTTTCCCTTGACACCCCAGGCAGCACCTTGACAGTGGGACACCTCACTACCAAGATTTATACCAATATTGATTGCTTTTTGAGATGAGAAAATATTGTGTGGTGTGATTTACTTACAAAAGTGTCTTATCCTCCTTTTCATATACTGGCATGGCATTTAGCCTGCAGACTTTGCTGGAGTGAATTCCATGTGCTTTTGTTTTTGTATGAAAAAAAAATTCCTATAGATTTAGCATTTCTATCAATTATAATAAAACTAATGCTACAACAGCATAAAAAAGTAGTGGCTATTTGGATTTTAAATTATTAATATTTTTAAATTATCTGTCTTTTCCTTTTACCAAGTTAATGATACTACTTCTCCAGACTTCATGTTTACTATAGAGCAGATCCACATAATGGCAGCCTCCATTGGCTCAGTTGCTACTGGCTTCCTCCACCTGTATTATCCTACAACATATTTCAAATGCCCATGCCTATCTTTAGTTAGCAGTTTGCAATGAAAGGTTATGATTTTAATAAAATGTTTCATTCTAATACAGCTTTGAGAAACTGCTATTCTAGATTAGCTCCCTATTAAATGCTGGTATCTTTAATCATAAAGGCATTCACTGGGTGAATGTAATAGATCCTCTTGTATTTTATGAGTTTAGAAGTGCATTTATTTTGATCTTTATTTTTTGTTAGCTGAATATCTTAAAGTTGGTGCCAAGCGTCAACATTTCTATAGTAGCAGAACTAAAGATAATACTGCAATTTCTGTTGTGTAGTACTGATCCACCAATGTTGTATACCTGAAGAAATTAATTCCTTTTCATGGGAGCCCACACATTTTATGTTTTAATCCTAACTGTACGCTTGTTAAAACTACATATTAAATAATAAAACATGCATTATAACATATACATTCATAGCTTCAGATTCAAGAAGGCAACTTCTCATTCAGATATTCTCTTACAGTTTCACAAACGAGCCAAATTATCCAAAATTCATATTTGATGGTACTTATTCCTATGGAACCCCTAGAGTATCGCGTGTGGGGCCATATAGAGCAGAAACCTATTGTCATCAAAAAATGGTGATAAATAATAAAGGGAAAAGCAAATAGTTCTGCTCTACAGACCTCTGCAAAAGAAACAAACCAACCCCCCTGTGTGTCTTTGAAGAAATATTATTGTTAGAGTGGTCATTACCTCATATTTCATATAGCTGAAATTCAGTTGATTGGGCTTGTGCATTTGTATAATTGTCAGGCTTTTTGGTTATCTAAAGATACCTGCTTCTTATGGATCTGTCATATGTTTAACATGCAGCTCACATGATCTGTATGCAGTAGGGCATATATAATCAGTGGAATGTCTTCATATTTCAGAATATTGTAGTGAGTTCAGAGAAGCAAGGGAGTTGGAGAAGTATTAATATTTCTTTTTTTTTTTTTATTTTATGTAAAGAACTAAATATAATGGAATAAGAAAAAAAAAGATTGCAGAGCTGTAAAAATTGCTGCAGTGAGTAGGGGCAAATCAGAAGAAATCTCTGGTGTCCACCAAGGAGAAACATCAAGGGAGAACAAAAGCAGCTTTCATGCATGAGGGGGAAAGACTGTGAAGCAGAAAAAAATAATGATGGTGAAATGGATGGAAATAAAAGCCAGGGAGAATCATGAAGTCTGTGAAGGAAGGTTTCTGCTTAAGTACTGTAGCATTTTAATAATTTGGAAGTTATAATTGTTTTAATGTATTTCTGAATACTACCACAATTCTTCATTGCCATAATAACATAGTACAATGATTAACTGCAGGGAAAAATTACATGAAATGGCTTAGCTGCAAATTTAAAATAATAACAGAATGATCCCAAATACAGTAATTTCTCAGTATGTGACTTTTTTTTTTTTTTTTATCTGTAGAAATTTAATAATGACTGGTGGATAGGACGGTTGGTAAAAGAAGGCTGTGAAATAGGATTCATACCAAGCCCAGTCAAACTAGAAAATATGAGGCTGCAGCATGAACAAAAGGCAAAACAAGGAAAATTCTACTCCAGGTAATAACGATAAATGATTAAAAATAATAGCATTGACTGTGATACCACTTGGAAGTTAACGCTGTGTATGTATAGTTCTGTTTAATTATTGTAATTGGCAGCTACAAACAAAAGAAGTAATATTTATGTAATTAACGTCATTGCCATTTGAGAATGAAAGTAGATTTATGATTGGTGGTCTGTGATGGCCTACAGTGGCTATCATTCCATTTTATTTTCAAAAAGTATTTGCAAATACACATTGCAGTTAATACATTTACTATGTGCAAGTACAATTTTTGACTTAAAAATCAATCTCCTTGAATTCTTTACTTGTTTTCATGATCTTGCAATTTCTAAACACTTTTAAAACTGCTTTTAGAAATGACAGAAAATAGTAAGATTAATTTATTTGTAAGCAGAAGACAGTGGTTTTTAGTTAGCTGTTAGGGAAAAAGTGTTGGTCTTGTCAAATTCATCACCTACAAATGCAGCTTTTAAGAATACTGAATTTTATGATGGAAACTTCAAGTCCAGTCATCTGTTGTGTCTGACTGCAGCCATTATTACATAAAATTAAATACTCTGTATGTATTGAATAATTCTGCAAGATGGTAATAATGTCGTTTTTACTGTAGAATTCTTAATAAAGTAGGTATACAGTAAACATTGGCACATGTGGAAGCAAATGCCACTTGCTTCCCTTTGAGTATATTGAAAGAAAATATTTCCACTTTATCTGAGTGTGATGGACCTGAAATTGAGTAAAGAGCTGGCAAAGATTTGGGAATCCAGAAGTTCTTGCCAGAAAGGATCTCCTTCTTCAACAGGGAAGGCAACAGTTTTTGAAGAGCATATCTAAACTAGGAGTAGACCAGGGTGCTATAGTGCTTGACTGTGTTTGGCGGCTGAGAAATGCCTTTCCTATAAATTTACTCTCCTCAGAAGGAAGATGTCAGGTTCCTTATTTCTCTCATGACAGTGCTGATATGGCCAAATCTGACCCAGTGATTCAGTCCCTCTTCAAATTGTAAAGTCTTCCATTCTGCAGAACTTCTCACTACACTGTCCTACACCACAAATGCATATAGTTAGTGCTTATTAATATTTTAAGGTGGAGAAAATGTAATTAAATACTACCACATTAATTACTCGAAGAATGTAATAGCCTTTCTTATATTCTTTTCAGTACTCTTCTCATTATGGTAACTGAGATAAAATGACTAAAAATACTGTTTCATTTTCACATCCTGGATGGGTTTTCACAAAGCAGAACTTCACAAAACCCTAGACTGCTTTATTTTCATTTGAGAGTCTTTTCTTTCCTTCTACCTTCTATTGAGACAGCAAAAGAATTTGTATTTTGTTTGTCATTTTCATTACAGTGCTATCAGTAACTCTTCTGTTAAAGAAAACAGATTTGCTTACTGGCTTAAGAATTAGTCTTAGTAAGGTGTAAATAATATTATTAATTACATAACAGTAGCCATATTAATAATTGTGTCACATTAAGGTCGTGCATGAGTTAGAGCATATGCAGCAGAATGAAGTTGCACAGTAGGGCAAGAATCATGACTGATGTTGGCAGTTCCTCGTTCCTCAAAATGTACACACGTTTTGTGTGAGTTGTATATTTTATACCGCTGCCAGGAACACTCTTTGTCTTTTAGCTAGCAGTTCATTGAGAAGGGAAATATTAAGTACACTAGAATAAATACTGGGAAAGCTGTGAAACTTCAAACTGGTTTGTTGCTTTACTCCAGTAAATCAGGAGGAAACTCTTCATCCAGTTTGGGTGACATCGTTCCTAGTTCCAGAAAATCGACGCCTCCATCATCTGGTGAGTAGGTCATGAACCCTTCGATTTACGTACTCATGCACGTAATCTGTTAAAATGTATGTACAGTCAGTCCGATTTTTCTTATTCCCTGTACTTCATAGGTAAAAGATTGGGTGGCTGTGTTGTCCTATAAGGATGGTTTGGGTAGGTTTGAAGTACTGGAGTCAATACCAGTGAGTTTAGGCAATGATAGGGCTGTTAACAGTCCACAAAATCCCCTCCTTGCTTTTACCATGGTGTTTTATACAAAGACATAATAAAATGATGAGACTGCATTGCAGTAGAATAATTAAAGGTTTGGTCTGGTCTGAGCACTCCTGCAGAACAAGAAATACCTTCTGGTATAGAAGAAAAAGCAGCAGTAGGAATAAAAGTTCCTGAGAGATTTCTTCAATAGCATCAAGAATGGCATTATATTACAGTAACAGGAACTTCTAGTTTCACAGCTCTCATAATGAGAATGTGCTTCACATAATTCTAGCATACTGGATATTTTTTTTGCCCTTTGTGACGTATTTTTCACAAATACTGTTTTGTATGTAGAGCATCAACAAACATATTTAGTTTTATTCAGGTTGGATTCAAGTGGTATGACGCAAAATGTCACGTGTTGGTGGAGGGAACTGGCATTAGCTTCTTGAAAAAAAGCATAGCAGAAGATGACCAAAAAAACCCACAAAACCCAACAACCAAAGTTCAACTAAATTCAACTGCTGCATTGGTGGATGTTTCATCTTCTCCTGAGAGAGAAAATGCATATTTTGAATACTCAAAACCAGAAAATATGAATGAATGTTGCTATTGCTCTGTCTACTGAGGCAAAGACATGTTTTCCAGCTGTATTAGTATATATGTAGCCTGACCTACAGAGCAGTTATCTTAAAGTGATCCTGAAGATTTTAAAGTATTCATATAGACATTAAGAGAAAGACAGAGAATTTCAATCAAGTTATGGTAGTAGCTTCACTTGATTAAAATAATTGAAAAATATTTTTGAAAAATATTTCTGTCTTTTTTGTGGAAACACAAATATTTGTAACAACAAACTTTTTTACAATTGCAGTTTGGTTATCAAAATTCTACTTCATTTCCCTATTTTTTTTTTTAAGTATATTTTTATTTTATTAATAAGTGCCCATCACAGGTCTGTAGAATACACCTTAATGTTTTATTTTGCAGTGGCTTTAAACTGTCATATTTACTGTTAGGGCCCACTTTTCCAACAATAACATTTTTGCAGACGTGTCTGTGGACCTGTCATAATTTTATACTTATGGCATCTGAAATGTTATAGTATTCCTTTGTATCCTAAAATCACTTGGAGAGCATGCATACAACATTTCCAGAATGTTGCGTAGTATTTAAAAGTAAGAGAACAGATAGAATATTTAGGCTACCAACAGACATATTGGTAGGCATCCTGTAATTTTCATTGCATTGAATTGTTTCTTCAGAAAATAGTCTCCAGGAACTTGGTTTCCTGGAGAAAGAAGGAAATCTGGTAAAGTTTATTCAGTTACGTTGAGGACCTGGAGAATATTTATGAATTGTGTGCATTCGCTTGTTCTGTGATTTTAAGATTTTGGGTCTGCAGGGGTGTTTTTTTGGATTATTTTAAGACATCCCAAGAAGGTTGTAATAGGCAGTTTGTGTCTAACGCAAGAACTCAAATGACTTTGAAGAACATTTCCCATGCCTCCTTTTTAAAAAAAAAAAATGTAATAAATTATAAATACTTAAAGTATTTAATGAGTTGAAGAGATTTTAACAGATTTGAAGAATATAAACCAGTGCCACAAAAAAAACAAAAACAAGCAAAAAAACCACCACATGAATGATCAGTGGAAAAAAAAAATTAAAAGCAGGCTCACGGCCATTTGAATGATCAGTATTATATTGTTACAGTAATCAATCCATACAGTCCTCCTCAGCCACCAGAGTAGATGAGGATAACAGTTAAAATGATTTGGAAAAAAACCCAATGAACTAAAGATAATTAAAAGAACCATCATGGAAAATGTTGCATGGTGTGAAGTCTGAGAATGGAAAGAGGAGATACTGATGCCTAGCTGATCGAACACTGCATTTCTTTTTACAGGGAAAAGTTAACAATCCTGATTTTCCTTTACTGGCAATTTTAGTTGAACAGAGAATTGAAGGAGTTTTAATGTGCGTTATTATGACTGATTTATAGCCTCTGTGCTGGCCTGTATTCAGGAAAAGATAATATGTTCTTTTTACACTTAAAAAGAGGATGAAGGAACAGTGTTGCTAGAAAGTGTTATGTGATTTCTGTGGCTTTTTTTAGGAGCAGGAGTATAGAAACAGGGTGCAGAACTACTTGCAGGTTTTCCTGGCAAGGGCAGTCTCAAAGGCACAGTTCTATAACTCAAGACTTATTAGGTATTGTGACATTAGTTCTGTGGATAATTCAAATGGGAAAATGCACTTTACTCAGACAAAAGAGATCACTGTCCTGAGTGTCTCTTAAATCAGTAGCTGCACATAGGCTCAGCAGAAATATTTGTTTTGCATAATTTAATAGTACATGCCACGGTATTAGTTGATGTACCGCCCATCAAGCAACTGAAAGCAGGTCACTAAGGTGGTTTCACAATAGTTTGCAATAATTAATTATGGGTTTGGATAAATTATATTGCTCACACATCTATTTAGAGCTAGATTCAGTTCGACATAAGGCCTTGGCAAGATAAAATCATGTTACCAGAGTGTGTCAGGAGGTGGTAAGTTCTTTACACACGAGGGTCATGAGGTACAGCATGTTTGCAGATCGCTAATGTGTACATACTTTCTTCCTGACGGGAAATTTAATACATCACTTAAGATCAGGATTGAGTGTTGTAAATAAGACAGCGATTTTTGTTTGGTTGGTTGGTTTTTTGTGGGTTTGATTTTGTTGCAGATTTAGCTACCAGGTATGTGCTTGACTCAGCATTCAGGATAACATAACTTTACATTTTGAAAATGTATTTATTTCTGAGTTCATGGTGATTTTTGTTTAAACTGTTGTTACTTACTTGCTGAAGAGGGTAAATATATTTTGTAAACCTTATGTGCTGTACGTTCTTTTAGGGTAGAGGTTGAACAGCAGTGATTTATTGTATTCACTTCCATTTTGCCCTGTCTGTATCCTCGCTATTCACAACAGGATCCAGGTCTCTGAGACAAGCTGGGATCAATGTTCTCTCTTCTGCTACCCATTCTTTTTAGTTTTCACTATTGGGTCTGTTTTTATTTTTTCTAATAAATGCATCTTACAACTACTGTGCAGTTTTAGTTAAAGTGGTTAAAAATGCCAGTTGTAGTCCAGCCTGAGATACATGTTGATATTATTGTACAAGCATCAGGCTGATTTTGTCTTCAGAAGTGATTTTTCTTCTGTTTCTTAATATCCTATGGACATGCTACTGACATTTCACATTTCAGTGGATGATACCCATCCTGAGTTAGTGTTCATTGCTATAAAATCATTCCAGTGCTGTTGGCCAAGTTCTGATGTTTATATTGGTGAAAGACTTATCCAGTGAACTAGTTTGGATTAACACTGGTGTAACAAGAACAAACTTGGCCATTTCTTTGTGTTGTAAGAGTAATTCTGTATATGTTTGATATAGCTGTGTAAAAGGGGATCAGAAGAAAATATTATAGTAGCTGTTACAGATTGCCTTCTGTCTTCTAATCCTAATGTACTGCATTTTTAAATTTTTCCCTTTGTTTTATTGTGTTTTATACCCATGGATGATTTCTTTTTTCTTTTATTTATTTAGTTAGTTATTACTCTGGGCAGTTTTGTTTTTCTTTACCTTATTTCCTTTTTAACCTGTCTTTACTTTCCCTGTCATCTGATAATTCTGAATTGTTTGTCTGTATATAGCTATAGACATAGATGCCACTGGCTTAGATGCAGAAGAAAATGATATTCCAGCAAACCATCGCTCCCCCAAACCCAGTGCAAACAGTGTAACATCACCCCACTCCAAAGAGAAAAGAATGCCCTTCTTTAAGAAGGTAACACCGACTTCCAAGCTCCCATCTGTCCACCTGCTCACCTGCACTGCGTCACATTTCTAGTCCTGTTAACTGTCTGCGTCCTCTGACAAGCCAATAACATGCATGCTTTGTTGTTCTTTGTTTCTTTTCCATGCTGCTGTAGCTAAGCAGAAGCAGAAATCGGTAAGTTTATATCGACATTACCTGTGTTTATCCTGCCACTGGCATCAGTAACGTTATTACCCTGGTTTAACAATGCAGCTGTTCTAGAATTAAGGTAGAAAATTATCAACCTGTTAGTGGGCTTAGCGCAAGAGAAGAAACATTCCCAAGTTCAGCACATCTGTGAAACTCTGATACAGTACTTATCCTTTTTGATGGAATAGTAGGACACATTTAAGTGGCCTTCCAAACTTTTGAGAAATTTCTAACAAAACCATTTAATGCACCTCTCTAGTGCATCCTATTCTTTCTATCTGTGTCTTTCTCAAGTTGTTTTTTTTCCCCCTTATAACTCAGCCTGTAAGTATCATTGGAATCTAAACATTACTCAGGTAGTGTCAAAACCATTTTCTCTCTCATTTAGTCAGTATTTAAGCTTCCAATTCACTCGGTGCAAAATCTTCAGGAGAACAAGAGCAGTGAAAGCCACAGACTTGTTTTGATGGTTTGCTTTGGGGTTTTCCTGTTGTCATGAATAAATTACCATCCAAATGCCATCCATCAGTCAAACACTTTTAGTATCTCAGCTATTGGGAATGGTACTGGTGGTTCCTAGGAGAGCAAATGTCTCTCCATAGACAACCCAGATAACTACAGAATTATTCAGTTGGCATCCTGTTAGAGTAAACTGCAATACATGTCTAAGATCTTTGCTGAAATAAGTTATCAAGTCATTATGCAGCAGCCAAACTGTGCAATCAAATGCCACATTTCTGTTTTGGGTATTGTTTTGTTTTTTTTTAATCTCTGGTCTTCATGACTCTTATTCAATTCTTTTTAACCACTCTCTTAAATGCACAAATAACACCACACTGTTAAAGTGCTTATAATCAGTGCCGGGTGACACTGTTGCCTATGTTGTGGATACTGTCATGTTTAGTAAATAAAACTTTTTCTCTTTCTCTTCTCTTCTTGAACTCTTTTAAATAATATTGGATACTTTTCAGTTTCAAAGTTACCAGTATTTGCTTCAGC